TAATGAAACGATTTTTTACCTGATAAAAAGCAAGAAATGCAATCACGCCATCAACGCAAGCCAGACCGACATTCACTCCTACGAGCGTCATCGGATAGCACCTTCTTCCCTCTCTCAACTCCAACATAATCTTTTTGTCTTTAATTTTTATTTTCCGCTGTTTTTTATTTTTAATCACGCCATTCAACACACACACTCTCACCCACGGTGCGTGTTCATATCGAATTAAATGCTCCCAATAAGGGTCGATGCAGAGAGGCAAGATTTGACAGAGAAGGCAAGGTGCCAACTGTATCCTCCCAGTGAATGCAAGTGTGTAAAAACGTAAAATCTCAATCCACGTATAGAGGTAACATGAAGATAAAAGAGGGAAAAGCGGAATAAAAAATGAAAATTGTTGAGTATCTAATGGATATCCTTTTGCTCTCTATAGAAGTGTTGAGAAGGGGTGAGCAAAGAAATGACGCACCGAATTGCAAATAATCAAAAAATTGAATCTATAAAAAAAATAATCGAATCTATTAAAAAAAATTATTATTTGATTGCAAATAATCAAAAAATCGAACTGAATTTTTTTTTTACATTGAAATAATCGCACCGAAATGTACAGTTCGTCTCGGTTTTCGGTTTATCACTATTTTTCTATACATTTTATTTGCATCGAATTGAACAAAATCGAAAACCAAACTTATAAAAAAAAACTATAAACACCGCACCACAATGTAGGAAAAAACGAATTGAAACCGAATTGAAAAGTTTTTAAAAGAAACGGAACATAACCAAACTACACCAAATTTTATTGTCCGGCTCGATTTTGCCCATCCCTAGTTGCGATGGTATCTTTTTAACATTGAAGATCTACATTATTATTCCAATTTTTAAATCAAGACATACTAGTTCATTAATATTTTTTTATCTATATACTATCTATGAGCTTACTCAATTTTCTCATATATCATATATTGAATAAAATGACTTAAGTTCAGTATCATTTTATCTATCATAGAACCTCATATTACCTGGTACACAAAATACCTCCAACTGGAAATCGGCCTGACTTGAGTTCCTTGTTGGTATAACGCCTTTAGATCTGCAAAAACTCTCACACTAAAGGAATTTTCCTGTGAAAAGCATCTGATGCTTAAGTTAGCACTGTGAAGAAGATGAAGTGTTGTATATAGGTAGAGAATATAAAAAATGTAATGTGATAATGGGTATATCTCACTCCTTTTTATAGAGAGATGATATCTTGTTGCCCAAGACTGCTCAAATAGGCTGTCTGAACTGCCCGTTCGTACTGCTCAACTACTCGATCTGCCTAAACTGCCAAATTCTATTAGGCCACGTGGCCCTATCCACAAGGGGTCCTTATCCTATTAAGATTCCTTCTTATCCCTTGGTCTTTCGTATTAGACTGCCTAATCGTGCGACCGGCTCGAGCCCTGCTGAGGTAGAATGTTGTCTGTTCTGAGCCTAAGTGTTGTCCTTCTAGTCGATCGCACAACCAACCATACTTTCAGGTCAAGTTTCTAGCAGGCTACCCAAGGGCCCTAGCTCAACCTATTGCTGCTCCTTTGAACCCCTTATGTCTTCGTCAACCGCATTGACATTCGACCTCCGTTCAACCTTCCTACGACTCTGCTCGACCAACCGATTTGCTCGGCCTAGTCAGCCGGTGTATTGAGTTTGCTCTTCAAGGTGTGGTCTCCCACGCCATTTAGTCCCCCATTCTGGCTGAGTTTAAGATAACTCGATCTAGGAATAGGTTGTCTTTGCCTTTAGTTGCTAAGTTCCCATTCTTGATTTTCGACCAATTTGTTCCCTCCTTAATTTTATAATATAATTTTCGACCTCAATTGCTCTTTTTCGATTCTACCACATCAATTTTCGACATCCTCACGTGGCCTTCAATTCAAATTCAAATCTTTGTCATCTTGTCAGATCCCATCAATCAGCTGATGTCACTACCACGTAGATCACACTGCCTCATACGACATACCATTAAATGCCTTATTAATTACAACTGTTTCACCTTTAATCCAACATTTAAAAATGCAGTCCTTTCGCCTAGCCCTCACATCTGAGCCACGATCCAACGGCTCCCAAGACCTACCTTTCCGCCTTTGCCATCTTAAGATCTCAGCCTTTAATTTTTGCCAAGATCCAACGGCCTTATTTACGCTTCCCCTTTCAACTTGTCTGCTTCATCCTATCCGTTGGTTTTGATTGGGATCCAACGGCCAAGGTCGATCGACCCCTACCTTTCTCTACCTATAAATAGCCTTAAGATCGATTTTTTTGGTTTTTCACTTTTGCAATCTCACTTTCAGTAATTTTTACCTCTTAGCAATCGAATCTCCAGAGTTCACTCCACCACGACTTATCAACTTCTGCAGCTTTCTCAGCCGATCACTTTCAATCCTCGACAATGAGTAAGTAGTTTATTTTTTATTTTTGTTTTTGTATGTTGAACTTTTAGTTTTTGTTTTACTTTGTGTTTTTTGCCAATTTCTCCAACCTCAACACTCTCCCTCCTCTTCTTCTCCGCACAAAACCTAAAAAAAATCTTTTTTAACTTTTCCTTTTTCAGATTCCGATACTTCCAGTGAAGCCGACCTCTTCCTCTGTCATCCTCTTCAACCCCTCGACCTCAATTTTCTCTTTCTTCGACCTCTTCCGTTGAAGAAATTCTCCAGCCGATTCTGCTTTCTGCAATTCTGGTTCAGTCTCCGCCCACCTCGTCGACCAAAGCTCCTCCCGCCCGCCACCCTCATCGACCTCTCGGGCTACTCGATGAGCTTATGGAAAGAGACGAGGACGACGAGGTCCTCCAACATGCTCCCTTATCTTTTGCTTGTCCCTTCCCAGCCTCGACCTCTCAAGCGGGTCCATCGTCTAGTTGTCAACCCTCTCAACCTGACTCTCCCATTCAGGTCGATCCAGCTCGTACCCCCCTCGACGGTACCGAGTGGGTAAAGGATTTTCTCGACGTCTTTGGTCAGCCTCTAAGGAAGTTCATGTCACCTGGTCCTTTTGACACGTGCGACAAACCCCCTCTCGGATTTTATACCATTTTTCAAAGCCACATCTAGCTCGGTCTCCGTTCTCCATATGCTCAACTCTTCTCGACCTTTGTGGTATTCAAGTTAGAAAACTTTTTATAATTTTAAAAGAAATAACGGGGAAAAGATAAAGATTGGGAAAAAAAATTTATGCCTTATAAATCTCTTTAATTTAAAATTAAAAATGATATTTAAAACATAATTAATACCCCTAAAAAGATCATAAACATTCAATATATTTATGGTTATTTATTTTTGAAATGGAAATAAATTAAAATCTATCTAAGTCAAGTGACAAAACTTAAAAATTTGTTAAATGGTCGTGCCACTTAAACACATTGGAAATTATACATAAAGTGATTGTTCGAAATTCATAATGCCATTCCAACAAAGCGAATAATTTATAAAAGCTGAGGACAGAATTAACCTTAATTAGGCAGTTTGTTTAAATGAAAACTAGTACTGACCCGTGCGATGCACGGGATGAGATATTTTTTTAAAAAATTTTTAATATTAACATTAAATTTAATGTACTTTGTAGATATGTAACAAATGTGAAATGGAAAAAAACAAATTTAAAACTTCATAAATTAGTAAACACTTCTTTGTACAAAACGTTTTGGGTCTGATTTGGTGGCAAGTCATCGTCATTATAGGAGTAATATGTGGCCCAATCAGACACGTGCCTTGTCACCTGCTTTGGGATCCAACTACCTCGAAACTCGGTTTGTGTGGATAATCTTCAGGAAAAAATATTCGAGAAGTCGGTTTTTGTCTTTAGTGTGAGATCGGTCACTGAGTAAGTGAAGTCGGTTCGTTTTTATGTATGAAGTCTGTTTACTTTCTTATTTGTACCAAGGTGGGTTAAGTTTGTTGTAGGAATCTATATATATTGAAAAAGAGAGGTCAATAAATCATTTGTGAAAACTTTTAAAAAATTGGTCAACAACCCCATTGACTTTCCATTAATAGAAACTAATTTAAAAATCCTTTCAAAATATATGTTTTTTTTTTCCTGTTTTTTAGGGATGGATATACCTTTAACGTGATAAGATATATACATGTGATTGCATATTTTGTTGTTGCATCCCAAAAATCATGGTATTTAAAATCTATCCAAATACAATCCATAATTATCTTATCACTTTTGTTAATAAAAAATTGTATAAAAGGATATTCACTACCACCATTACAACTCATCATTCACGAGTTCAGAGAAAAAAAAAATACAGAGAATAATTTTGAATCGCATATACAATATAATGCTTCCAGGCTGGGGTAAACTTGATATATAATGCTTCCAGACTGGGTACCTTAACAAAAGAAACAAACCTTTTTTTGCGTCTGAGAGCAGTCCGCATTATTGAAACCCATCACGAACGGAAGAGCTATAACGCATTTTCATGATGAACAGGTAATAACCTTTTTTAATTCAATTTTATATAATTTAGAAATTATTTTAATTAATATTTATAACAAACCTTTTTTGCGTCTGAGAGCAGTCCGCATTATTGAAACCCATCACGAACGGGAGAGAGCAGTCCGCATTATTGAAACCATCACGAACAGGAGAGTTGTAACGCATTTTCATGATGAACAGGTAATATTTACCTTTGTTATTTCAATTTTATATAATTTAGAAAATTATTTTAATTAATATTTATAACAAAGCATTATTGAAACCATCACGAACAGGAGAGTTGTAATGCATTTTCATGATGAACATGTAATATTTACCTTTGTTATTTCAATTTTATATAATTTAGAAAATTATTTTAATTAATATTTATAACAAACCTTTTTTGCGTCTAAGAGCAGTCCGCATTATTGAAACTCATCACGAGCAGGCTGGGGTACACTTCATATATAATGCTTCCAGACTGGGGTACGTTAACAAAAGAAACAAACTTTTTTTTCGTCTGAGAGCAGTCCGCATTATGGAAACCCACGGGAGAGCTATAACGCATTTTCATGATGAACAGGTAATATTTACCTTTGTTATTTCAATTTTATATAATTTAGAAAATTATTTTAATTAATATTTATAACAAACCTTTTGAACAGGTAATATTTACCTTTGTTATTTCAATTTTATATAATTTAGAAAATTATTTTAATTAATATTTATAAATTTGTATCGTAGGTGCTTTCATTAAATGCATAATACATTATCCGAATATGAGAGCAACAAACTTTATATAAACTGAGAGCAGTCTAATTTTTGTAAAATATGTAAACTTTAAACGTATTTTATATATAAAATTTTATATACTTTTAAACATGTTAGTTGGGCAAATTTTAAGGATATATATATATGTGTGTGCTAACTTTAAGTATATATATTTTTCTTATAAAATAGTCTAGACAAAATTGAGGTAATTTCACATTTTTCAATAATAATATAAAATATTTTAATACTTTCACATATGTTATATAATAGTCTGCGTATTCTTAATGTCTTTTGGTTGTAACACTGTTAACACATATAATATTAGATACTTTTAAACATATTTAGATATTTTTTTTACTCATTCTTTAATATCTATGTGCATAAAAAGAGAATAAGATTTATAAAAAATTTTCCGGCAATATACTAAATGTTAGATAAAAATCTCATTTTATTTGTTATATAATATTTCGAGTTGCATTAATTTTGATTTGTATGTGTAAAATTGATAAATTAAGCGTATGAAAAGGAACGTACGAATTACTGTAAAGATTTAAAAAATAAAAATAAATCTAATTTTTAAATATTTTCTAAACGAATTTATGTCATAATTCGTCATAATTTTCCCACATCATGTCAATATTTATTTTATCTATACTAGGTAAAAGGTAAATCATTATCTCAATATTTATTCTATATATTCTAAGTAAATCTTCTCATCTATCTCAACGGTCTGCAGGTAGTATTTCATACTTTTCTATTCATAATCAAATATACAAACCTTCACAAATTTTACTTCACAAAGAAAGTGTTCAATAATTTATATTTTTTTTCCTTCTTTGCAATCCATTTATTTTTATTACATATATATAAATTATATTATTTTTAATATTTCACACGTTAAACATTTCAGGAAAATATACCATCCCGTGCATCGCACGGGTACTGTACTAGTAGGGCTGAAAGAAGTGTTGAGGATAATATTAATAAATCCTCCTTTTAATCATGGAAAATATCTGGAAAATCAGGTCGGTTGCCAACACATGTTATTACAATCAACTTCAAAAAATATGTTTATCCGTTTTTGTTAAAATATAACAAAAACAAAAAATGTGCAACGTGTTACATGTGTCTTGGATTTTGTCGATGTGTTATATCAATGTGACATAATGTTTACCGAAATTAATGGAGTTTGTTACAATTTAGTTTGGTAAGGCTTTTTGGATTGATTGAAAAATAATATTTTTATTTTGATATGTATCATTTATCAAATCTTGAGATTTTTTCTGCAATATTTAACTCCAAACAATCCGAAAAAAATTATGAAATTTGTTACCAAAAGAAATCTCAAAGATTAGTTGCAATATATTGTGGGTAAATAACTATGAAGTTAAAAGATTTGTTATCAAAATCCGAGATTTGTTATCACAATCAGATCAATGTGTTAACAAAATCTGAGATTTGTTATCAAAATAAGATCAAATTTGTTACCAAAATCCGAGATTTGTTATCAAAATCCGATCAAATTTGTTACCAAAATTCCATTAAATTGGTTGACATGTGGGACCCATTGATATTGCTTATATTAGTAAATCAACAATTAATTTTTTATTTTGAAGATTATGTGCCTATCAATGTGACATAATGTTTACCACAATTAATGAAGTTTGTTACAATTTAATTTGGTAAGGCTTTTTGCATTGATTGAAAAATAATATTTTTATTTTAATATGTATCATTTATCAAATCTCGAGTTTTTTCTGCAATATTTAACTCCAAACAGTCCGAAAAAATTGTGAAATTTGTTACCAAAAGACATCCCAAAGATTATCGGCACTATATTGTGTATAAATAGCTATGAAATGTGTTATCAAAAAAATCAATATTTTAAAAGATTTATTATCAAAATCCGAGATTTGTTATCACAATCAGATCAAATTTGTTAACAGAATCCGAGATTTGTTATCAAAATAAGATCAAATTTGTTACAAAAATTTGTTATCAAAATCTGATCAAATTGGTTGACATGTGTGGCCCATTGATATTGCTTATATTAGTAAGTCAACAATTAATTTTTTATTTTGAAGATTATGTGTCATATCAATGTGACATAATGTTTCCCAAAATTAATGGAGTTTGTTACAATTTAATTTGGTAAGACTTTTTAGATTGTTTGAAAAATAATATTTTTGTTTTGCTATGTATCATTTATCAAGTCTCGAGATTATTTCTGCAATATTTAACTCCAAACAATCGAAAAAACTGTGAAATTTGTTACCAAAAGAAATCCCAAAGAGTATCAACAATATATTGTGGGTAAATAAAATATATGCATTCGCATCCATACACTAATGTTCCGAAACGATAGGCATATTATATATCAAAACGCACAACTGTGCAAGAAAGCAGCCCATGGCTGAATATTACAACCAAGAACTATGATGATGAAATGAATTTATACTCTTTTGTTGCACAAATTCATTTCCGCATGTTTATCAATCTAGTGAATTTTATTAGTAAAATTTGAAAGTTACATATAGTAAATAAATTATTAGCAATTACAGCAAATTTCTAAATAGGATTTACAAAATTATAATATAATTTACTAACATAATCATTGCATATTACATAAGTACTATCAATTCATGAATAAATAAAAAATGAAAGAATATAAAGAAAGAATTAAATAATAACTATAGAATTTTCTATTTTTTTATCATTGGATTTTTTCTCAAAATTCAACTTATGATTTTTATTAAATCTACTTAACGTTTTTAAATTAAAACTTCTTATTATCTTATTAAAAAATAATTTATTTTATCTCCATATAATAAATTGATTCTATAGTTTTTAAGCATTAAATTTTATAATAATTTAATGAAATCTAATTATATTCATATTTTTATGGAACATATATGCATGTATAGTGGGTCTTATCCATGTACAACACAATAAAATTTTAAATTCTATAAATTTACATTATCCCAACAATTTTATAACCTAATAACAAATCTTTTTCAAATAGAGAATTTAAATTATTATTATGGATTGATACTAAATCATTAGAGATATTATTAATGCTAAACTTTTCTTTGCTTAGAGATATGTATTAAATCAGTAGAGATGCGAATTAATAGAGATATTATAAATCCAAATAACCTAATAACATTATTGATTGTATAGGCTAGATTTGCTTTTAATTTAGTATCTTAGCATAATTATCGATTGTCAAGCTACTATTTTCGATTTCATTTACTTTTAATTAGATACACCTCCAATTTATTTATTTACTTGGCGGATATATTTTTAATTTTTTAATAGACATATTTCAAACTCTGTTTACATTTATTTACAATCCAAATTTGACTTAAAATTACACTTGAATTTAATCAAAATGTTATATAAATAATACGTTTGTAACTTAAACTTACTCATGTTAGAGCATCTCCAATGCTCAATGTTGTAGTACCAAATTACATTACAAATCAACACATTTATTAATATTACAACTTTTCATTCTCCAATGTACAATGTGATCACAAATATTGTGATGATGTGGACATAATTAATATCTACAATGTAGAGAGCAATGTGGTTCATCCACATTCTCCCCCACACTCTAGTTAGCCAATGAAGAGAAGAGAGAGAATTACTATTCCCATTTTTAAGCTATTTAATTATTTGATTAACTTTTTTAATTCATATTAAAATTTTAATATTTAGTAAGTAAATAATATTGTAATTTGACTACATTGTGCATTGAAGATGATTTTTTAATTTAATAGTTGTGAACTCAACATTTGTCCTACATGGTTCACAATCTACTTAATTTTTTGACATTTGTTAAAATTTATCCTACTACAATATTAGAGCATTGGAGATGCTCTTAAGTAGGTAAATTTTTTATTCCATATCAAATTAAAGATTCCATATAATTGCGCACTTTGTGTAATTTTGGTCGGCCTTATTAGGGGCATGCTTTAATCTTAATCACACAAACAAATTAGAACGGGTAGCTTATGTTGGGAAAATTTTCTAACCAAGATTCTGCATTTATTTTTGTTAATTGCGTTGCATAATTACAATTAAATTACCAAAATTCACGCCATTTACATATATTTTCAATTTTATTTAATTAATTCACACCAGCATTATCGGTTCACTACATATCCATAAAATACATAAATAAACAAATATAAAAAAATGAGAGNGAGAGGGAGAGAGCTCTGCAAAGATCACGATATTTTCAAGACCTCATCTTCACATAATTGTCAACAAAACGCGAAAAGGTGGATTGAAATAAAATAACAACAAATCATGAGAGGCGCTAAAAAGAATTTACAGTTACCGTATTATTCAAGAAGAAGCTTGTAGTTAACCCAACAATAACTGGCACCTGACAGACTTTGAAATTCTTAAACTCAAATCTTTCCTCTTGCCTTCTGAAGAAACTCGACCGCTTCCTGCACTTTTCGAGAGCACCAATGCCCATGACCAGTTTAGTTTGTCCAGGCATCCTTCGAGCCTGGCCACTAACTGCCTCGTGTAGCCACTCCGGCAGGAATTCTGGCCGCTTAGTCTTCCAATCTCCGTAGGCCCTTGACCGATGCCAGCTTTTGAAGTATCGTCCTTTTCTCCACACTCACCGATCTACACATCGGATAGAAAATAATTGTAGTGAAAGAAGTAGTGAATAGATGAAAAATAAATATGTACCAGAAGAATAATGAGGGTAGAGACATATAATAAATCAATATAAATAAAAACTGAGTAGTAAAATCAGAAAAATCTTTAGAATCTGGTTATTGAGGAAAATCCGGTTAATAACAATACTAAATCAAATTATTTAAGTAATGCAATATATTATTTCAAGTAAAACCGCGCCTTAATCTCAACCAGATTTTAATTTCTAGAGACAGACGTTGAGATACTTTTTGCTACAATTGTAAGGTGACATCTATTTTTAAAATACTACCCGTTTTTCCCTAAAAAACATGATATGAAATTGATCTCCCGTTTTCTCCTAAAAATATTGATATTAAATTGATTTGAATATGAGCCATCAAAGCTCACGTTTCCAAATCAAAATCTCATGTGTTATTAAAAATATTTCGAACTAATCATAATTCGAGAATTTGTTAAAATTATGAAATTTGTGAACAAAAAAAGATCCCACAAAATCTGCTATCATTTGTTAACAGCATTACGTGAATTATTATTTTTTATTAAAATCACATGAATGTCTATTCTTTATCCAAAAATTAGGGAGGTTTTTTCTCTTGATTTGCGGATTTTTAGAATTGATTTTTTTTAATGCTTTAAATGTATTAGTTGCGGATCTGCCATATTAACAATAGAATATCTTTGTTGTGAAAATAAATCGGAAACATCAACTGGGAGGCTTTTGGAATGATTTAAATTAAAAAGAAAATCAAGAGAAAGAAAAATTCGGATTTTTTACACACATATTTACAATTTCTTGACATGCTAATATTGGATATAAAATCCTTCCTGCAAAGCTCGTTCAATGTGCGTCTTCTTTATGACAACCTGGAAGCGGTATTTTGCAAGTGTGGCTAAACCGGTTGTCTAAAAAATGAGCACTTTGAAATGGAATATAGGCCTGTGCATTCAAAGACCAAGAAGCATCCAAATTTTATCTTTTCTGCCTGCACAAAACGACTCCAACCCTCTTCAAGGAACATGCAGTTTGCGCTTAGCCTCATCATGACCGCATAGCTGCGCCCCTCTTTGGTGTCTAAAATGGTAGTCTGTGGCAGTATGTGATGATATCATGGTGGTATTGCCTTAGGTGTAACCTACAATATTTTTGTGGCATGTTAGATTGCCTACAATGTTATTCATAAATACTTTCTTTCTAATAAGTTCAAACTTGCATTTGTAGTTAAAATAAGAATACAACATACGATGCTTGGATTGTTTGGATATAATAACACTTTGAAGAAGCCCAGCAGTTCATCATCCATTTCCTGTAACTTTAGTACACTTACTTGAATAGACTATTAGTTACATCATGCTGTTCAAGAATATTGTTAAATTGTATAAAGAATGTTCGTAAGAAAATATCTGCTATCGTGTACACCATGTTGAGTGATTCATTCTAATCCATTTAGTAAAAAATGCGAGAGGCTTTAAGCATTCGTTTGGTAAAAACTATCTGAACAAAGAACGAACAATAAAAATATGATCAAAAGACTTGTTTGGTAAATCAAGAACTATTTTTTTTTTTTTTCTTAAAAAAAAAGTAGAGTCACATATCCTAGGATCTATCCTCATGGCATTCTAATCAAGACACTGGTATAGCTAAATCATCCTGATGGATGTAGATAGAACATACCAAAAATGTTCAACAAAGCAAGAATAGTCTAATTGCTTCAATACACCAATAAACTTCATAGCTCCACTATCAATCTCACTTACGGTTGCGACAATAAACCAAAAGGCTAAAATAAACCTTAAAAACTCACAAAGCACATCAAACATGGTGGATGTTGTAACGGCTCACTCACCCACCCCAAAAAATGTCAGTGTGCACTAAAATGAATTTGGTACCAAAATTAAACAAAATTCTTAGAGGCTTTGTTTCCCAGATAAATGTTTTTTTTTTCACATATATGAAAGAATTAAGCCTTGGATTCACATAAATCGTTTAAAATACATACACATTAAAAGGTTACATAAGCTGTGTACATGCAACAAAAAGCATACAACATCTTCACAGGCATACATACATAAAAACGTAAATCGGGAAAAGGTATAAATTAGACGGTGTAAATTGTTTGTCTGTTTATCAATTTCCATTTTTTGTTTGAAGAGAAAACAAAATAAAACTGTTGTCAGTAAGTAAATAAGCAGAGCACAGGATGTCAAGTAATTTCCTAATCCAGACAAACCAAAGGCGCTTTACGGCAACACTAAAAACAGGGAAAAAAATGCGAACCCACAAAAAATTATAGCAAAGCAGCAAAATATTCAAATCGGCAACCAAATCGTAAAAAGATAAAAAAATAAAAAATCCACCAGAAGTCTTACAAAATAGAAAGTAAAAAAATCAGATCTTACAGAGATGTTGCCATCGCCGTTCTTCGAGCATGGAGAAGACTCGATGGAGCTCCACCGTGCTCATCTCCTCAAGTCGAGCCCTAATTGGATAAATGGTTTTGATTTGATTTGGCAGAATTAGTTTCGATCTAATTTGTTTGGAGATGGCGAGAGATAACTATAGATCCACGATTCCACAAAATCGGGAACAGATTTGTAGTGAAAAAATGGAATTGGGAGTCCTCAAAAGCGAGTGAATGTTTTATACGGCCAAAAAGAAAAAAAGGAATACACATACTTAACAGATTTCATAAAAATCTTCCCATCTGATTCAAGGGTTTCAAAAAAATCGGGAACAGATTCCACACGAGCGCGTAAATGATTTTTTTGGGTATTTAAAATAGTTACCATATTCAGTAAGTCAACTTGGTTGACTGCGAATTTTTTAAAACTTTCCCAAAAAGATTTATTGACCTATCTTTTTCAATATATATAGATGCCTTGTGGGGCATCGGCTGGCCGGCCTGCAGGATTAATTTTGAGGTTGTAGCATAAAGCATTACATCAAAGCTAACATATTACTTTCACAAATTTATAATTTATTAGTAATTGATCATGTACACATGTACAAATTTAAATAAAATTTTATATGTCGTATGCGTGTCTATATAATATTTAAAGTTACAAATTAAATACTAAAAATAACAATTTTATAAGTTTTATTATTAGTAAAAATGATAAATAAATATAAACTATTTAACTTACATATTAATCTTTATATTAATTGTAATAATATAATTTTTACAATCATAGTTGACTATGACCAATTAGTTAGATAAAATAATATTAAAATCATTATTATAGCAATAGGGTAGATATGCCATAAAAAATAATTATGCAATTTTAATAAAAGAAACTTGCTTAATGAGTTAAAAAATAATATTTTAAATAAATAGTTTGAAAAAAAATTGATAATAAAATAATATTTAATGTGACTGTATAATTAAATAGTAGTAGCTATTATGCAATAAAATAAATAAATAATATAACTACTTTATTAATGGAAACTAATAGTGAAATGGGCTTCATCCGCTCTTTGCTCGAACTTCTACTGTGAGGAAATGACTTCTTCAACCTTAACGACTTCTCCTTCTACATCGAACGACTTCCACACTTGCAAGAACTCGACGTCGGAAGGGAGGTTTTTCGGTGAGGAACCTCCGATGTCTAAGTCAGTACTACTATAAGGTGATGAATAGTGAATAAGTATATAGGAATGTGTAGAGAATGTAACCCCAAAAACTAACCTACCACCTCCCCTTATATAGGGAGGTGGTGTCTTGTTCTCCAAGTCTCAAAGAGTTGACCCGACTGACCCCGATGTCCGTCCGTATGACCTGCAGCGCCGCAAATGTCATGTGTCAGGGGTGCAGAAGACCCAATTTGATTGTAACGCGTGGTCCAATCCTCGTATAGTGCGGCTTTCCAAACAGATGCCTTTTTTGTCCCCTACGAGACCTAGTCTACGTTACCAGGTCGAACGTCTGTCTTGGTAGAACTTGGTCCTTTTATTAAAATTGGTATGAGCCGAAGAAGACCACTTTATACCAAGACGGACGTTGAACCAGGTGACGTGGACTGGGCCTCGTAGGGGACAAAAAGGCATTTGTCTGGGAAGCCGCATTGTACGAGGATTGGACCACGAGTTACAATTAGATTGGGTTGTCTGCACGCCTGACACCTGACATCTGGGGCGCCGCAGGTCGTACGGACGGGCAGCAGGGACAGTCGGATCAACTCTCTGGTAAGACTTGGAGAACAAAACACCACCTCCCTATATAAGGGGAGGTGGTAGGATAGTTTTAGAGTTGCATTCTCTACACATTCCAATATGCTTATTCACTATTCATCACCTTGTATCAGTACTGACTTAGGCATCAGAGGCTCTTCACCGAAAAATTCTCCTTTCTACGTTGAGTTCTTGCAGGTGTTGAAGTCGTTCGAAGTAGAAGGAGAAGTCGTTGAGGTCGAAGAAGCCGTTTCCTCACAGTAGAAGTTCGAGCAAAGAGCGGGTGACGTCCATTTCACTTTACCAAACTACAACAGAGAAGGGCGGGAAACCAAAACAATTATCATATTCTTTTGCCTATTATTTTACAAAATAAATAAAAATAAAATCTTCAAATAGAAAAAATAAATAAATATTTTTTTAGAAAGTACAACCCAGCTCTCATTGACACTAAATTTTGGGCTAAAATTATGGTGTCAAATGATCACTTATTCATTATTTATTTTGCCAAATTAAGTAATGAACATTAAAAAATGTGCAACAACTAAGGCGGAAATAAGAAATTTGAATTTGCTAATGGTAATAACATAAGATTTAAATGTGGAATCAGTAATTAAAAAAAAAGATATATGTACGAATATATGTTAAAAAATTATAAAAGTATATAAAATTGATTAAACGCGGATAAATCAATTTTGACGCAAAATAAGGTGCTAATTGATTACTTATTGTCGTTTTATTTTGTCAAATAAAGAATATTACATTAAAAAATGTGTAGCAATTTTGGTAGACAATATGAATTTCTAAAATAAAAATTATTTGTTATTGAAGGAATTCTATTGGAAATTTAGTTGATGGCCGAGGCTTCATTTTTATGTATTTTATCATATTATACATTAATTAACTAGTACGTAGCCCGTTTGATGCACGAGACAATGATTATAAATTGCATGCAATAAAGCAATTAAGAAATTGATTAATATAAAAATAGTTTTGATAATATTATTAATTTTATCTTTTATTTTATGATATATAATAATTTAATATATGAATTATATGTAAATTCATTCATTATAAAATAGGTGTAATTTAGAGTTCTTGATTAGAATTAAGAATATTTGAAATTTAACATATTCAAATATTGTTAATAAATAATAGTCACATTATACTTCTCTCTCCATCCTCCCCTACTTATACGTCATTATAATATTTCAATTCCTAAATAAGTTATGGTAAAGTTGAAAGTGACAACTATTATAACAAACACTTAATTACTATAATATATATTATTTTGAAGTTAAAAATTTTATAATTTTCAGCTATATCAACATCGTTTTATTTTAATTTTTATAATTTAATATCTATTGTAAGTATTTCATTTTATTTTTCTTATATATTAATTTATATGACATTTCGCCAACGATTGGTTTATCATTATTATTTATAACAATATACATTATAAATACTTTGATCCAACAATTTACATCGTTGTCTGATATATCACTCGTCGGTTCTAAAACCACACAAATGACTCAAAATGGGGGAAAAAGAACGAGAAAATAGACACAAAAAACGTAACAAAAATGGGACAAACATATAATATATAGTATATAACATATAGTATATAGTATATAACATATAACATATAGTATATATTATATAGTATATAGTATATAACATATAACATATAACATATAGTATATATTATATAGTATATAACATATATATACTATATAACATATAGCATATAATATATAGTATATAGTATATAGTTTATAGTATATAGTATATAGTATATAACATATAATATATAACATATAGTTTATAGTTTATAGTATATAGTGTATATTATATACTATATAGTATATAATATATAGTATATAACATATAACATATAGTATATAGTATATAACATATAGTTTATAGTATATGGGTCGCGCTCACA